TCTAGGTGAACCTGCTTGGGCTGGGGGGGTGGGACTAGATGGTCTCCAAAGGTCTCTTCCAACCCCCACCATTGTGATTGTGATTGCTTGTATTCTCATTCAATCTTAAACTCTCCTATGTTCTCAAAAATGTTATAATTAATTCAGATATGATATGGAGAAAAGACTACATCTGCAAAGATTAAAATAATTTCTTATGCCGTCAAGTGGAAATTTTTAATGAGTACTAGAATTGCTAAAGAGAGGCCCATTGGTAAAACTGCACTGAATTGTTGACAACAACATATAATATGTCCTGAGTCATATATTACCAATAAATTATGTCAGCTAAGGGTGAGAGAAGAGGAAACAAACCTGTTTTAAATTCTGAGTGTTCATTTAACTAAAAATAATACATTTTAGACTAGAGCAAAACAGATCACCTTGAAATTTCTGGTAAAATACCGTTTTTTAGTAGCAGCAGTACATGTTACCCAAAATATGTTCTTATCTTGTACCGTGTACTATCATATGATATGTAGCTGGTACTGCTACATCCCACACATTTCCATTAAAATTTTTTTTTTTTACTTTCTGATTTTAAAGTTTCCAATTTTATTAATATTTTTAAAATATGCTTGTGTTTCACAACTTTCATAAAAACCTCTATGATAACACTAATTTTTTTTTGAGTGGCATAGTTCTAGCAACTGGTTTGTAAGAAAACTGTCTTAGAAGTTTCAACAGGATACAGGATAAGAAATGACCTTTCCAAGTGAAACGCAAACTGCAAAACAGTTGCAGTCGTCAAATCATCCACTGGAACATCCATTAAGTCCATCTTCAGTCGGACTTCCTAAGTGATTTTTTTGTGCGTCTGGGCTGCTGCCTTTTGACCTTGGCCTGCAGCCAGTCTACTCAGCAACCTTTACACCATGCTAGCTATTCCCTTTTCCCACCTGATCCTCGTTAGAAGCAACTTTCTTCCTGTTTTGTAAGAGAAATAGGAAATCTGCTCATTCAGTCTAACGCGGTCCAAGACACTCACTGCCAATAAAACAATCTAGCTGCAAAACATCAGGGGAGTTGAAAAAGGCCATGAACAACATCACAGGAAATCTTAAGTGATGGAAAATAAGAAAAATAATGGAACCCTGAAAATTAAACTGCCTTATGGGCTATTTCAGCTTCTCATCTTCTCATTGTTTTTCATTACATAGCTACTATGTGAGATGCAGTAATTTGAAATCAAGTGCTATTTTCGATTATCAGATATCCATAGCCTGTTGTCACAGACTTAACTGACCTCTTGCAGAAAGCACCAAACCTCTGCAGCTTGCAAAACCAGGCAGTGCTGTGAATGTGAAACAACTGGCAGATGCATACCTTTCCCATAAAAAGATCATTTCTTCTTCATTTCTTTTTTGCCCGCAGCAACACAAGGGACTGACCCCTCATTCCCTGGTGACCCCTCCATCCACAGCTTTTATGCAACGCTGGGCAACCCTCTCTTCACTGCACCTGGCAGTTGCACTTGGCAAGAAACCTCACTCCTGCAAGCCTGTGTCCTCCCCCGGGGAGCGCATCCTGCCTTCACCATGCTGTGGAGACATTGGCTGCCACTGAAAGATATCGCTTGTTTCTTTTGAATTTTTTAGAGTTGCTAGGGAACTGGCTGAGGTAGAAAATTGATTTATTTTTCCAAGGTTGAAGTTCATCATGCAAACCTGGTCTTCCCCCCATGTAATGTGTAGCCTAGTCACTGGCTTTTGATTCTTCTGTCATAAAGATCATTTAATCTTTGTAACTTCTTCATTAAAGATTTTTCAGAATATCTCTTTTTATCTCTTTTCCTACTGTAGAAAGGGAGTCTATCTGATTTCTTAAATTTTATCTTTTTTTTTTTTTTTTACAGAATATCCTTTCCTCTCCAGCTTTTCCAGTAGCAATTAATTCAGCCTGCTTCACCACAGATATGATGCTGTCATGTTCCAGCTACATAATCAAAACATGCAGATCAATGAGTGCAGACCAATAAATACAAAACAGGAAGTAAAAGGTGTTTTCACCAATGTAATTATTTCAGTAAATATCGTGTGGTAGTGGAAGGACAAGTACTTTCTTGTACTACGAAGATATAAATTACAGTAATTACCTGAACTTTAAATAGCAGTCATAAATAACTCAATATTTCTATATATGTGTGTGGGTGAGATCTGAAAGATCTGAAACATCAAAAAACGGAAGTAAGGAAACTTCTTCTGTAAAGTATGTTTAACAGAGAAGGAGAAATTGCAAATTTACAGGAAAAATATTATTGTAAATTCAGCTGGATTTGTTAGCCTATGCAGAAAACAGATTCCCACACTTGCAGGGGGATGAATCGGTTGGGGAAAAGTGGCTGGAAAGCTGCCCAGCAGAAAAGGGCCTGGGGGTGTTGGTCGACAGCCAGCTGAATATGAGCCAGCAGTGTGCCCAGGTAGCCAAGAAGGCCAACAGCATCCTGGCCTGTATCAGGAACAGTGTGGCCAGCAGGACTAGGGAAGGGATCCCAAGCACAAATACAGGTTGGGCATAGAATGGATTGAGAGCAGGCCTGAGGAGAGGGACTTGGGGGTCTTGGTAGATGAGAAGCTCAATATGAGCCAGCAATGTGAGCTTGCAGCCCAGAAAGCCAACTGCATCCTGGGCAACGGCCAAAAGTGTGGCCAGCGGGTCAAGGGAGGTAATTCTCATCCTCCATTCCATTCTCGTGAGACTCCAGCTGGAGTACTGCTCCCAGCTCTGGAGTTCTCAGCACAGGAAGGACATGAACCTGTTGGAACGCGTCCAGAGGAGGGCCACAGAGGTGATCAGATGGCTGGAGCACCTCCCCTATGAAGACAGGATGAAAGAGTTGGGGTTGTTCGGCCTGGAGAAGTGAAGGCTCCAGGGAGACTTTATAGAAGCCTTCCAACATCTGAAGGGGACCTACAGGAAAGAGGGACTCTTTGTCAGGGTGATAGGACAAGAAGTAATGGATTTAAACTGAAAGAGGGGAGATTTAGATTAGATATTAGGAAGAAGTTCTTTACTGTGAGGGTGGTGAGACACTGCAACAGGTTGCCCATAGAAGCTGTGGATGCCCCATCCCTGGAGGTGTTCAAGGCCACGCTGGATGGGGCTTTGAGTAACCTGGTCTAGTGGGAGGTGTCCCTGCCCATGGCAGGGGGCTTGGAACTAGGTGATCTTTAAGGTCTCTTCCAACCCAAACCATTCTATGATTCTGTGACTCTATTCTATAACTGTACTTGATCAGAATGTGTGGCAGCTCTCTACCAGCTGCCATTTCCTTATAAATACTTTAATTTGTTGTAAATTAGCATACACCACATCTGGATAAACAAGGGGCAGAAAAGTACAGCACTGGTCAAGCAGACATGAAACATTTCATGATACCATAAAGCTTCTATAAGACAAAATGTGAGATTGCATGTTGTGGTGCAGCACATACAGATACAGCCCGGGACAGGGTGACACAGGAGACCCAGTGCTATCAGGACTCCTGGGCAGTCAGAGTCAAAACTCTTTCCCCTAAGTGGAAAATTATGAGGCTCAAGCGCCCTATGGAAAGTGCATATGAAGAGCTTCCTCCTCTTGAGCAGCAGGGAGGGTCTACAGTAGGAAAAGCTGGAGCCTTCCTCATCCCGTCAAATGAGACTCTCTCATTCAGGATTTGCATAAATGACCTACAGCATCTAGAGCCAAGCAGTATGTTAGAAAGGTTTACTGCATTGACTATAGAAGTCCTACAGCTTTCCCAGACTGGTTGTGAAATAGAGTCCGCAGTAAGCACCAAGAAACCTTCTTACAGACCATGGCAGAAAATTCTCATAATCATTTGTTGTTACCCGTGTGTAACCTACCTCATTGAATATCACCCAACAACACCTGCAATAAACTCATAATTGCAACCAAGATTTCATCCTATTTTTAAATGATCTCCTGTTCTGATTTGCTCACTGTGTGCAAAACAACAAACCTAGGTAATGTCCAGTTAATTACTCCATTGTTGAAAATATTCAGAAACATGATTAGTAATGTTCCAAATAAGGTAACATTAATAGACAAGTCAAGGTCTGATTATAGAGTTTGCTACGCCCTGTCGAAAACTAGTGGGTACACTCTCTAAGAGAAAATCCATAGACTAATTCTAAAGATTTTTTTTTCCATTGGAGATTGCAATATTTAGGGCTAAAATCTGTTGGTAGCAAGCATGTCTGAATTTCGGATGTCTAAGTATATTTGGAAAACTGAGTATAGATGTTCCAGCATAGCTATGAGCAGTGATCCTTTTGAAATTCAGTCAATAAATATTGCTGGAAGAGAGAAGCAAATAACAGTAAAGGAATAAGAGTATAATTGAACCTGCAGGCAAAGAAGGACATTTCTTGTATGCCTATGTACTTTTTTGACATTATGCAATTTTGATTTATTTCATTTTATATACTAAAGTCATAGATTATATCCCATTGCAAGCAAGAAATTTATCCTTTTGCAAAGGATTATTAAAAACATCAAGGCAGTTGAATAATGTGTTAAAGACAGGAGGCATAAATCCAACAACAGATGAAAACGAATGATTAAGAAAGATTCCCTTCAAACTTCTCAGAGAGAGTTATGAGCTGTGATTTTTGTTGTTTGCTGTGGGTTTTTTTTAAGACAAACAAATACAGGTCTCATTCATTCAAGTGTGTAAACCATTACAAATTGTAACATGCAATGAATGCAGCATATTTGTGTATGCACTCCGAAGTTTACCTTTGTGAAGGAACAACGGTGCAGGAAGTTCCTGTTTCCTTCCTTAAAGTAGGTTTAAGATTACAAATTAATCTCAAAAGAGATTATGAGTATCTCAAAGAGTTAATGAATATCTTAGAACTGCCTGTTTCTCTTAATTGTCCTAAGGCCAGTTGATCCTGAAGTATATAAATACCAATGCATGGAGAAACACAGTTGAAACAGCCAGCAAACAAAGAGCAAACAGGAACCAAGAGCTGTGCCTGCTGGAAAAGATGCCAAAATGCATTTTTACCTTCATTCGTCTTTCTGTGCTCTTACTCGGTTTCTCCATTATTTGTGTGGGAGTCCTTTGCGTTCCCACAAGCTCCTCCACATGCAGATGTGGAAATAACGAACTGGTGTTTTATTGCCTGTTAGCTCCGGGGGTCTTTCTCCTTGTGATTGGCATCTGCTGGAACACTTGCCACGAAGTTTTGAAGTACAGGGGCCCCTTCGGCGCCTCCATTCGAAACCCCAGCCGCAGAGAGCTACGTGTCAGCACTATAGACAGGTATGTGCTGCAGTTCTGCTGCCCATGAACTGGGAGGGAGGGATGCTGCTCTGTAAACACACTCTGGGAAGAAAGGAGCTATACAAACGAAGTGTTTACAAAATAAATTTTAAAAGTGGCCATTTTACTATATTTCTATGAAAAAAAAAAATGGTAGTCAGAGCTTTGATTTGCTAGAGCAAGCAGCAATGTGCAAACAGCAATTTTTACACAGTATTCGTAAGGTAAGGTATATTACAAGAAACACAGCAGATTGCACAGAGCGGCCTAAAGCAACACATGGAGGGAGCAGGTGAAGCTATGCCTACATCATCAGTTTCATCTCAACAGACAGTTCCAGATGTGCTGCCGTGGGATATCTGCTCGTATTACTTATTACCAATGAGGTACACAGGGAGCTTCAGTCCCTATATGGTCCCTGCTAGAGTTTTCTTGCATAATTGACCCTGCTATTTCTGAGCAAAATCTGATGCTTTGAGAGAGAGAGAGTTTCTTAAACTTACTGGCCGTAGGCCTGACAAAAGTCTTAACCAGGTCATTGGAGACAAATTACTTTTCTCAGACTGTTGTGGAAACCGCACCAGAAACAGTGACAATGGGTGCTCCAAAAGCACTATGAGAACACCATTCAGCAAATTTTGGTTAGATAAGCAGAAGCATGCAAAATGTATTTTAAAACTGTGGAAAAAAATTATTACTGTAATAATAAATAATTCACTAATTTAATTTCTTTGGACAGTGACCTCTTTCTTCTTCCAAATCAAACTTTTCTCAGGCACTTGTTGAAATACTCACAAGAATGAGTGTTTGTATGTCATGGGTAGGAACTCTGATGAGGAAGTCTTGTCTTGTTAGAATGCTGGATTCTAATAAAACATTTTACAGAAAGACTTAGGTAATGATGCCAGCTGTTTTATATTAATATATTCAATTGATCTAAACATACTTATATTTCCATTTACAGTTTAAGCCTCATCTAAACTTCGGAAACATAACAGATAAAGCATCTAACCAAGCTCTCTGAGATAAATCACATTTCACCATGATGTGTTTCTTTTTGGTTTCTTTTTTTCCAGGCCTGACTTCTATCCCCCCTCCTATGAAGACAGCACAGATCCTGAAAAACAGACCTTCCCACTGCCAGTTGCCCCTACTCTGAAAGAGCAAGAAGCCATAAACATCCCTCCACCTCCATATAGTGAAAGCAGTGCAGAGTTCATCAGTGAAACTAATGAGAAGGAGCAGCCACCACCTTATGAGTTATCTGTGGGGCAACTACAGCAGCAGCAAACAGCTGACCAAGACTCAAACACTGGAAGGGAGTCAGAATCTCATCCATCCACACAAGAAAAGAGTTAACAACAAGATACGAATTGCCAGGGGACCTCAGAAAGAGCAACGCCTGTCCGAACATGAGAGACTGGCAGTGGGTAAAATTCTGTGAAGCAGGGAAAATAGGAAGAAGATGTGTCAGTGTTCCCTGACAGTACATCACTTAGGGTGAAACTGCCTAGGAGAAGCCACTGAGGGTGAAACTGCCTAGGAGAAGCATTGACCATTTGTGTGTTCAAGTGGAGTTGGAGGGGATATATACAAAGGTGCTCAGTGTCTCAAAGTAGAATGAATCTCTACAGAGATAAAAACAGTAAGACTGTATCTTATAAAAGTCAACATCCCTGGCAATATGAGTTTCTTATGCTGCAAGATAAATGAAGTACCATGCTGCCCTCGGTCTTAAGTGTCTTGTACCTCATAAGGAGTGTTGGCTAGAAGTCCTTATTTATGGTTTTGTAACATTAGCTGACTTGGGAAACTTATGAACTCAGCTTTTGTTTGGAATTTGTAAATTGTTTGGTGTAACTGATTATTTTTGTATCATATGCCTTTCAAGTTACTTGTTTGATTCTAGGGTACTAATACCTGGTATTTACTATTGAATCAATGAATAAATTTTGTATTCAAAATAACTGCCACGTATTTGCTTATATGATACAAGGTGTCCATAATTAAGGATAAGCACACAACAGAATACACGTAATACACTTCTTGGCAGCTAAACAGAAAACCCTGGTTATGCCCACAGCTCCTCTAAAGAAACTAGCAGTTGCAGGAGGAAGAACTTTCTCTGATTTGCTCCTCTATTCTGTCTCTAAAAGCAGTTGCTGCCACTACAGCTTAATCGAGACTGTGGGAACTAAAAAAGAGATCCTGTATCCTGTTTCTGGTGCAAGTGGCCTCACAGTTAGAGAACAAGTACCAGAATGAGGACAGGCTTTGACTTATGCTTCCTCTGTTATCTCTTTCCTTCCTTCCACAAAACCACTGAAGCAAATTTTCATCCAGGCCACTGTCATCTATAATTCCAGATGACAAGAAAAATTTCATGAACATTCACTGCAAAACTGACTATAAGGCAAAACTGAGTTTTGCTTTTTGTTGCAAAACCAGTGAGATACAGATAGAAAAGTTATCACACTTTCCCGATGCTCACATAACATAAGTCAACAACTTTCCATTGTAGCTGCGTATACATTAGAAGTGCAAGCTGTGGTGGTGATGGTAACAATGGCTAAGGCCAGGGAAGTGACAATCGCATCAGTTTTTTCTTCCAAAGAATTTCATCCTTTATGGGAAGGACCAATAAACCTTCAGTTGATGTAAGGAGAAAGTAAAGCAGGATAAAATGGGGTGAAGAAACTACAGAGAAAGGAAAATCAATTCAAGACAAGTTGAGGAAGAGAAATGTATTATAACAATCACAGGCTAAAAAAGAGTTCCTGAAAAAAGGTAGAAGATAGAAAATGTCATCATCGTATAAAGACTTTTTGAAGTGATTGAGAAGTCGCACAGCACAGAGAACAGCAAAATTCAAAGGAACACTGCACTTTATTTCCAAAAAAGTTGAAGTGAGGATCTCCTACACCAAGTTACCCTGTTATGGTCTGAACTTCCTAGCACTATTATATCTGCAGCTTGAAATGTCTTGCTTCTTTACTCCAGGGCCCCAGATCCTGAAGGGTGTGTGCACTGCAGAAGTATTGGTGCAGGGATCAATCACAGCAGATGAGGTTGATTAACGAGGAGACTTCCCGTGGCAAAATGCTTGTCCTATGTCAGTTCAATGTTTGCATTTTCTTTTTCTGTGTAAATCTTATTTTTCCACCAGATAACTTTTAAAGCAAGACCATAAGAATGGAGAAACAATTGAGCTACAGGTAGCTCTGACAGCAAGTACTGCAAGAGTACCACTGAAAGTTGCTCTTGGACCACCTTGCTATAGGAAATGACATTCAGATTCTTCCCACATAGTTTATGGATAATTAGGAAGACTGAATCCTCTCTTCCTTTCCCCCAACCCCATGGCAGTCCTGCCTCTTTTTAGCTCCAGCCTTCTGCATATGTTGTGAGGTCTCAATGGGTCCAGAAATGTGAAACCAAAGATAAGTGCATCTTCAACCTGTAATATGGAAGAAAGTATTTGAAACATGAAGATTATTGAGATAAGATAATTGAGGTTAATACCTAATATTTTATTTGGTACAATCTGTTTTTCAGTTTGTCTTTTCAGCTAATGAACTATTTGGCTATGAGCCAAATGGTGTATGCAATCAGCTCAAAATTTTCAACAATCAAAGGCAGAAAAGCTTTTAAATGGTTTGCTTTTGATCAAACTTACTAGCACAAAGTCATCTTTGCCAAGAGTAACAGCTGGAAGTTTTAGATTAAAATGAATTTTCTTTGGACTGGAGGACACAAACAGGTCAAACTAAGGCTTCAGAACAGGTTCTTTTACTGCATTGACAACAACTTCCTGACACAGGTGAGTGAGGAGCCAACAAGAACGTGGTGCATGGCTGTCCTGATACAGTATCAGAAGAAGTGAGTGGGCATATGAAGACCTTTGCTGCAGCGATCATGAGATGGTGGAGTTCAGGACCTTTAGAGGAGGGAGAAGGGCAAAAAGGGGGACGAAAATTAGCAGAGCAGAGTTGAATCTCTTCAGAGATTTGCTTGGAAGAACCCCACGGCTTATGGCCCCAGAGAGAAGACGGGTCCAGGACGACTGTTTGATTTTCAAGGACGACCTTCTTCAAGCACAGGAATGGTTAATCCTAAAACAAGAAATCAAACAAAGACAGCAGGAGGCCTGCATGGGTGACCAGAGAGCTCCTGACTAAATTTAGATATGAACAGGAAGTGTATGGTAAGTGGAAGCAGAGACAGGTGACCCAGGAGGAGAATATAGAGACGCTGTCCAGTCATGCAGGGATGAGATTAGGAAAGCCAAAGCCTTCCTGAATTGAATCTAGTGAGGAAGGTGAAGGGCAACAAGAGAAGTTTCTACAGGTATATTAGGTGAAAGAGGACATGGAAAATGCTGAAATCCTTCATGCTTTCTTTGCCTCCATCTTCACTGGTAAAACCAGCCTTCAGGAGTCCCAAGGCATTGAGACAAGAGGAAAAGTCTGGAGCAAGGAAGACTTACCCTTGGTGGAGCAGGATAAGGTTTGGGAGCACTTAAAACAAACTAGACATACACAAGTCCGTGGGATGACTTGGGATCCACCCATGGTGCTGAAGAAACTGGGCCATGACATTGCATGTCACCACTGTCATCTTTGAAAGATTCTCATGACTGGGAGAGGTTCCTGAGGACTAGAAGAGAGAAAATGTCACTCCTGTTTTTAACAGAGGAAAGAGGATCGGGTTAGATAGAGGATGGCTAGCCTCATCTCAGTCCTTGGGGAAGTGATGGGGCAACTAATCCTGGAAACCCTTGAAGGACAAGAAGGTGACTGGGAGTAGTCACCATGGATTTATGAAGAAGAAACAATGCTTAACCAATTTGATGATGTTCTACAATGAGATAACTCACTCAGTGGATGAGGTGAGAACAGTGGATGTTGTTTGCTTTGACTTTAGTAAGGCCTTTGGCAACATCTCCCATGACATCCTCATAGACAAGATGACACAATACAGTTTAGATAAGTGGACAGCAAGATAGATTGAAAAGTGGCTGAATAGGTGGGCCACAAAATCCAGTTGGAGGCCAGTCACCAGCAGAATGCCCCAGGGGTCATACTGGAACCAATACTGCTTAACATATTTAATGAGAGCACACCCTCAGCAGTTTTGCAGATGATGCAATACTGGAAGGAACAGCTGACACACCAGAAGATTTTGCTGACATTCAGAGGAACCTGGATGGGCTGGAGAAATGGGCCGGCAGGAACCTCATGAAGTACAGCAAAGGGAAATGCAAAGTACTGCTCTTGGGGAGGAATAAACAAAGGCATCAATGCATACGGAAGCCATTGGGCTGGAAAACAGCTCCAGAGAGCAGGCCCTGGCAATCACATGCTGGGCAAAAATTTGACCACTCGCCAGCAACTCACCTGCACAGCAAAGATGCCCAATGGCATCCTAGGCTGCATTAGGAAAAGCATCACCAGCAGCTGGAGTGAGGTGATCCTTCCCCTTCTGCTCCACACTGCTGAGATGCATCTGGAGCGCTGTGAGCCGGTCTGGGCTCCCCAGTACAGAAGATACATGGACATGCTGGAGTACCTCCAGTGAAGGGCCACAAAGATCAGGGTACTGGAGCATTTGCCATATGACAAGAGGCTGAGAGGGCTGGGAGTGTTTAGCCTGTAAAAGAGAAGGCTCAGGAGGTATCATATTGATTTCTATAAATACCTGATGGGAGAGAAAGAAGAGGATGGAGCTGGGTTCTTCTCAGGGGTGCCCAATGACTGGACAATAGGCAATGCACACAAACAGAAAAATATGAAATTTCATCTGAGCACTCAAGAAAGTTGGTAGGTTGTTTGGTTTTTTTACTGTGGGAGTGGCCAAGAACTTGGAACAGTAAATCCACGGAGGTTTTGGAGTCTCCACCACTGAAGATCAAAATCCAACCAGACATTGTCTTGGGTAGCCTTCTCTACCTGACCCTGCTCTGAGGCAGGGTATGGACTAGTGATTTTAGTCCCAATGGACCTGGTCCCTTCTAACCTCAAGGATTCTGTGATCCTGTGGTTCGGGTGAGTACCACTGCCTCCCAAATTGTCTCTGAACACAACAGGCTTGTCATCGCACTCTCTTCATAATCATTTAGCTGTACTGACAGGTGAATTTGCTGGTATTTTGACTTAGCTCAAACCACTTGATGCTGAAGAGTAGATGCTTGAAGCCTGTGCGGTAAAAAGCCACAACTGTGCTCTCCAATGAGACTTCACCAAACATTTTGTTGCTCTAGTCACATTGGCACTACTCTTCTCCCATTTTCAGTAATTCAGTCTCAGCTATTGTGTTTTTGTAAACTGCTGAAGTAAGTTATATCAGAGTCACCAATTCATACTGCTCCAAATTTGCCCTTATTTCCCCTAGTGTAGACTATTATTTATCTTAGATCATGAGAGCAGTTACTACATTACACTGACAATTAAACAGATGAGATTATAGACAGTTTTAATACTGAACACTATTAAATCACTCCTAGACTGTGCTCCCTTCCCAACTTTAATTCCTTTTTCTCTCTTTCCCTCTCTCAAATCCATTGTTGTGATACTAGTATTCTTCTACCACATCTCTTTCCAGCTAAATCCAGCAATTTGTCCTCTCCTAATCTCTCTACCACCTGCTGCCTCTTTCTCTGTTCCTAGGACCCATCCAAGCCCTCTGCTAACGTATCTTGAAACTGCTCTTTCTCTCACTGGCCTCTGAATTCCTCTTTCTCCTTTTCCTCCAGTGTGCTTGGGAACGTGTCTTTGTATTGCTGGGTGCAGAAAAATCTGAGGTTTTGGGAAACAGGATTACTGTCCCAGTAAATGTTAGTGCAATCACATCTGAACAACATGGAAATCTTGCTATTTCCAGACTTGATAAAACTGGTAGTCCAAC